CTCCAAGCATATATCAACTGTAAAAGAGACATCAGACAATCTGGACTGTCTAGAAGAATCTCTGACCAGCTGAGCAGACCGAAGGTTGTGAACCACACTCCAGCTTTTCAAATTTCACAAGCTATCACCCATGATGGAGTGGGTTTGGGAGTCTTTGAGTCATTTCTGCTTCTGTAAATAACCCCTCACCCATATCCCTGTAAGTAACCCCAATGTCTGTAGGAGGGAGGTTGCTTGTTGGTTCCCGGCCACCTGGCTAGCTTAGACCCAAAATAATCACACAGAAACTGTATTAATTATATCACTGCTTGGCCCATTAGCTCTAGCTTCTTATTGACGAATTCTTATATTAATTTAACCCATTTCTATTCATCTGTATACTGCCATGTGACTGTGACTTACAGGGTAAAGTCCCCAATGTCTGTCTCCGGCAGCTCCATGGCTTCTCTCAGACTCTGCCCTTCTTTCTCCCAGCATACAGCTTAGCTTTCCCTGCCTAGTTCTGTTCTTTCCTGCCATAGGCTCAAAGCAGTTATTTATTCATTAACCAATAAAAGCAACACATAGGAGGATCTCCCATACCAAATGTCTTAGGGTTTTTTTGTTTTGTTTTGTGTGTGTGTGTGTGTGTGTTTTGTTTTGTTTGTTTGTTTTGTTTTTTTCAAGACTGGGTTTCTCTGTAGCTTTGGAGCCTATTCTGGAACTAGCTCTTGTAGACCAGGCTGGTTTCAAATTCAGAGATCCACCTGCTTCTGCCTCCCATGTGCTAGGATTAAAGGAGTGCACCACCACCGCCCTTTAAAAGAGACCACAGCAACTCTTATAAACATTTTAATTGGCTCACTTAATTTCAGAGGTCCAGTCCTTTATCATCATGATGGCGAACACTGGCAGCGTGCAGGCAGATGTGGTGCTGGAGTAGTAGCTCAGAGTCCTTCATCGTGCAGACAACACCAAGTGCTCTGAAAATTACACTGAGGGAAATGAGCAAAAGGGACCTTAAAGCTCACACACACACACACACACATACACAAACACACAATGACACACACACACACTCAGTGACACACTTCCTCCAACAAGGCCACACCTCCTAACAATGCCACTCCCTAGAAGGGTCATTTTCTTTCAAACCACCACATTCAACTCCATGGCCCCCAAAGATGATAGCCATGTCATAATGCAAAAATGCATTCAGTCCAACTTCAAAAATCCCCATAGTCTATCACAGTCTCAAATTTGTTTCAAAGTCTCTTCTGAGATGCATGGCAATCTCTTAACTGTAATTCCCCTATAAAAATCAAAATCAAGGGGCTGGTGAGATGGCTCAGCGGTTAAGAGCACTGACTGCTCTTCCAGAGGACCCGGGTTCGATTCCCAGCACCCACATGGCAGCTCACAACTGTCTGAAAATATAGTTCCACGAGATCTGACACCTTCACACCAACGAACATAATAAAGTTAAATAAATAAATAAAAAATAAAATGTTTTTAAAAAAAAAATCAAAATCAAGCCGGGCAGTGGTGGCGCATGCCTTTAATCCCAGCACTTGGGAGGCAGAGGCAGGCGGATCTCTGTGAGTTCGAGACCAGCCTGGTCTACAAGAGCTAGTTCCAGGACAGGCTCCAAAACCACACAGAAACCCTGTCTCGAAAAACCAAAAAAAAAAAAAAATCAAAATCAAAAGGCAGATGACATACTTCCAACATACAAAAGCACAGGATATACATTACCCTTCCAAAACATAGGTAAGGGAGAACAATGAGGAAATGCTGGAGCAAATCAAGGCCAAAAACCAGCCGGGCAAACTCCAAACTCTGTCCATATCTGATGTCAAAATACTTTTTAGATCTCCAACCCCATTCATCTTTATTTCTCTTGGGCTGATTCCACCCCCTGCTCTCCTCAGCAGGTACCCCATGGCTCCAGCATCTCCAACATCTTGGGTTCTCCAAGACAATCAAGGCTTCAACCTCACAGCTTCACCCAATGGCCTCTCTAGGCCTTCAGGGACACCCCTGACATATGCCTGCCTCGGTGGCTTTATTCCACAATTCCTTTCTTCTAGCCTTAATTCTAAACCCAGAACCACATGGCTGAAGCTGCCAAGTTCTGCTGCTTCCTGGGGCTGGAACATGGCCTCCTCAATCAATTACATCTTCACCTGCTGTCTTCCATTGCCTTCACTTGAGTGTCCTGAGACTTACTATGTAGACCAGGTTGGCCTCCAACTCAAATCTGCCAGCCTCTGCCTTCCAAGTGCTGGGATTAAAGGCATACACCATTCCCTTTGGGGGCCATTTTATTTCACACTACAATACCCAGTAAAACTGTTTTACCAAGTTGGACTTTGGTGATATTTGTATCTGTTGTTGGTTCCCTATCTGGGGTAAGTAGACGTTTGTTCTTATATCCCCAGGAAGAGTGACATAAAACCGGTGGAGACGAGTAGTCGTAGGCAAATCTGCCACCTGTATGAAGCCTCTCTGATCCAGAAAATGAAGGAAGAGGAAGGTGTGAAGCAGAAGATCAGGCAAACACTATTTCTAAGCAACCGGGGGAAAACCCAGAAGTCAGCTAGTTTATGCCTCCCCTTTCCCTCCCCCTCTGCCTCCCTCCTTCCCTTCCTACCTCCTTCCCTTCCTACCTCCTTCCCTCTGTTTTTTTCTCCCATCTTAGATCCTTGTTAATACTGAGACCCACTCCCACTATAAAAGTTCCTGCCATTCCTAAGCACATAAAGTCATTAGTACTTTCTTTCTCCTTTCTATTCTCCTCTGTATGAACTTCATTTACCCCTGAGGACTAATATTAGGCTTGCTCCTGTCACAGGAGGGCAGTCACTCTTCCAGTCCCTCCATACCCTTAAAACCTGACAGAAAGATGTTGTCTCTCTCAAGTTCCACTCAGAGAAAGACTCCTCTGAAGAGTTTCCTCAATCCCAAGCGTAACCTCTGGCCTTCTGCTGAGGATGGACTGGGATACTCTCAAGAACCCTAGACTTGACCAGGTGCACCTGCTGAGTAGATGAGGTGGGCTCAGACCTCCAGAAGGAAAGAATACCCAAATGAAAGAGGGGATGGAAGATGGCAGCAGATAGCTTTGGAATCTCATTCTTAGTGCCTAGTTAGCAATGAAGAGACCAGGAACCAGGTCACAGGCAACTCTTTCACCTGGATGAAGCCTTCGGGTGAACTGGAGACATGAACACTTTGTTTCTAGTTACAGATGACTTCACAGTTCTGGGTAAAGAATTTCTGGAAATTCCTCAAATACTGACACCCACAACCAGAGTGTGAATCAGTTGCCTTCTGGAAACAAACAACAACAAAAAAAATACCCTGTGAAATACTGTGACTCATGATGGCAGCACTACAAACAAATGTCACTAAGTCTCACTTTATTAAATCCACCGAGTATTTGGCCCTGTAGTAAAATGCAGTCACCCATCAGTGTACACAGGGAATTGCTTCCAGAACCCTGCAGATATCAGTCTACGGAGTCTCAGGTCCCTTATGTGAATGAAAAATCTGCACAAACCCTGTACACAGAGCCAACAAAATGGCCCTACTGGTAGAGGCACTTGTCATCCCCCTGATGACCTGAACTCAATACCTGGGACACACGATAGAAGGAGAAAACCAACTCTTGGAACGTTGCCCTTTGAACCTTTGCACATGTACTTATACACACACACCAATCTTCTCTTTATGTCTTGCCTGCCATTAATCCTATCATGCAAATATTTTTTTGAAAGGGTCTCACTATGTAGTCCAGCCTGGAACTTGTTATGTAGACCAGGCTGGTCTTGCACTCAGAAATCTGCCAACATCTCAAGTGTTGGAATTCAAACTGTATGACACCACTGGCAGCCATACCAGGCCCAGCTTTAAACCAACTACCTTGAAAGTGAATTTGTCTATTTTTAGCTCTCATTACATCTATCTTAAACTCTGAAGTCAGCTGCAGTGGCATCCACCTGTAAACCCAGGTACACCAGAGGCTGGAAACCTGAGTTTGAAGACAAGATGGACTAGACATTAATGTTGGAGGAGGGCCCACTTGTTCATCCCAGCCGCCCAGCTAGCTTAGCCCCAAAATAACCACAAAGAAACTATATTAATTTTTTTTTTTTTTGGTTTTTCGAGACAGGGTTTCTCTCTGGCTTTGGAACCTGTCCTGGAACTAGCTCTTGTAGACCAGGCTGGCCTCGAACTCACAGAGATCCGCCTGCCTCTGCCTCCCAAGTGCTGGGATTAAAGGCGTGCGCCACCACTGCCCGGCGAGAAACTATATTAATTAAAACACTGCTTGGTTCATTAGCTCTAGCCTCTTATTGACTAACTTTTATATTAATTTAACCCATTTCTATTAATCTGTATATCGCCACATGGCAGTGGCTTAATGGCAAAGACTCAGCATGTCTGACTCCAGTGGCTCCATGGTGTCTCTCCCTACCTCTTCTTCCCAGCATTCCATTTATTTTTCCCTTCCTAGCTCCGTTCCCCTACAGCTCTGCTATAGCCCAAGCAGTTCCTTTATTAACCAATGAAAGCAACACATAGTCAGAAGGACCTCCCACACCACATTAAGGCCTTGTTGAGTCCTCAAAGGGTTGAAATGTCCGGCATGCACCAGACATTGAACTCTGGATTCAATCCTCAGCACTGCAGAATCCAGAATCAGTAGTTCACACCTGTACTGGCCGCAGGATGAGTTCAGGGTCATTCTGGCAGAGAGCCTTTATCATTTATTAAAGGAGCAATTAATATTCAAGGTGTCAACCAACCAGAATTAATTTCTGATGGAGGAAATGTGCCTTGCAAGACCTGCAAGAAATACAGACGCCAGAATATCTGATGTTTCTCCCTATAATTTTAAATGTGCTAAATGCATTCTTTCCCTAGCCTGTGTGTGTGTGTGTGCGTGTGCGTGTGTGCGTGTGTATGTGTGTGTGTGTGTGTATCGCATGAATACATTCTTTATCTACTGGGCATTTTTATCTATGAATTGTCAAGAAGATGGTTCTGCCTTAGCTGTATTATCCAATTAGTATTAATACTGTTAACCTATACCGAGTTTTCATGAATAAAACAAATGCTGCCCAAGTCAGAAGTTCTAAGCTTCCATTAAGAGTGGAACTAGAGTACAGCTTAAGAAAACACTGTAATTTCCCCAGCTGCCAAGATAGCCACACACTATCAACTGATATAAAACTTTAAAGTAGCTTTTAGATCAGGCCAGGTGCTTTGCTAATTGGATTTTAAGGTAAACTATTACCAAAAGAATACAATCTTAGCTGGGCAGTGGTAGTGCACACCTTTAATCCCAGCACTTGGATCTTTTTGAGTTCAAGGCCAGCCTGGTCTACAAGTGGGTTCCACAACATCTAGGACTATTACACAAAGAAACCCTGTCTTGAAAAACAAAACAAAAAAGAATACAATCTTATTTACTAGAACATGTAGCCAGCTGTACAATTTATTGAGCCAAGGTAAATAGTGCAGAGTAATTTAACTGGAGTACCGGGGACAATAATTAACTCTGCACAGATTCCTAACCTCAGCCTTTGTTCAGGCACCCCGGAAGAAAGATTCTCTATCTGGCCAGGGTTAGCTACAAAATATAAAATAACTTCATAGCCCCCCCCCAAAAAAAAAGAGTTACAAGCTTTTCTTTCTATGGTCAAGGGTTACATGCTGGACATAAAAATATATCTTAAGATTGAAAATGCTTCAAATGCCAGTGTGTTGGTGAGTGTTGTATGGACTTCTCTGCCCCTGGCCCTGCAGCTCCAGCTGCTGCTGCCCTCTCTCTGAGGACACATTTGTAAACAAACAAGTCCCCAGTCCCAGAAAACCTGGAATTTATGACTACTGATCACAAAATGTTTAAGATGTTTTATACAATCAAAAGTATAGGATATAGGGGCTGGAGAGATGGCTCAGTGGTTAAGAACTCTTCCAGAGACACTGAGTTCAATTCCCAGCAACGACATGGTGGCTCCCTCTTCTGGCCTACAGACATACATGAAGACAGAACACTGTAAACATAATAAATAAATCTTTTTTAAAGTATAGGATATAGCACACAATTTCCTTATTTCTCTTATTAGTTTAGTTTTGTAAGGCTACCTCTATGGATAACAAAAAGACTTCTCCTTTTACAGCTGCGGTTTGCAGTCCACTAGTTAGGGAGTTAACTAAAAGAAAGTGCTCTTTTCTTACTATCTGGATTGATTGCACTGTGAATTGTTGGAATGACTATTTCTTATTATTTACTTAAGAAATGGTATGTGACCTTCAGAGGTAATGCCTGCAAGATTCTGTGGGTCTGTAAAAGCTAAGAGAGCAAACAGAAGCTGGCAGAAATGTAAAGGTATAGAGAATGTAGGAAAATAAAGAAGAAAAAAGAATGTAAAATAACAAACAGAGACTTGTAACAGAGAACTGGAATTAGAATTGAGAGAGAATTAGAGCTAAGAAATTATAGAAAATTAGGACAGAATTAAAATAGAGGTAGAATAAAGAGACATGTTTGGAAAGCACAGTGAGCCTTTTGTGTAAACCCTCAGATTAGAGCTATTCTAACGGCCTCCACTACACAGCGGCCTCTGACCTCAACTCTGGAGGAAGTCTGCAGAGCTAGACTCTGCAAGCTTCTGTAATTCTAAACTGCACAGTGAGTTTGATGCTAGCCTTGGCTATATAATGAGTTTGGTGCTAGCCTCAGATACACAAGATTCAGTATCAAAAAGAGGAAAAAAATCTGTATTGTGTGCATACATATGTAGCAATTTTTGCCAATTCATGCAAGTTTAATGTTTATCCCTAGTAAGTGCCTACTCTGATATCAAGCTATATCACCTTTTTTTTAATTCTTTTGCTTGTAAGTTTGATTTATATTTATAATTCCATTCTTGAAAATACCCGGACCACGAGGGGTGCACCCACACACTAAGACAATGGGGATGTTCTATTGGGATCTCACCAAGGCCAGCTGGCCTAGGTCTGAAAAAGCATGGGATAAATCCGGACTAGCTGAACATAGAGGACAATGAGGAATACTGAGAATTCAAGAACAATTGCAGTGGGTTTTTGATCCTACTGCACGTACTGGCTTTGTGGGTGCCTAGGCAGTTTGGATGCTCACCTTACGAGACCTGGATAGAGGTGGGCAGTCCTTGGGCTTCCCACAGGTCAGGGAACCCTGATTGCTCTTCGAGCAGATGAGGGAGGGGGAATTGATCGGGGGAGGGGGAGGGAAATGGGAAGCGGTTGTGGGGACGAGGCAGAAATCCTTAATAAATAAATAAATTAAAAAAAAAAAAAAAAAAAAAAGAAAATACCCACTTCTCTCCCTTTTTAATATAAGTAACCACCTCTGTTCCAGCTAGAATATGTACTCTGCATTCAAATTACTACAAGTGTGGTAATACAGGGGTGTAATCCCAATAAAAGTGCAGGCATCGAGGTCATCTCAGTCACAAAGCGAGTTCAAAGCCAGGCTCATCGTCTCGTCTTGAAAAGAACAAGCCAAACAAAATCTTTTTGTGTGTGGGGGGGTGGGGGTAGACCATCCTACTGCAGACTGTAAATTTGTATTTTGTTGTATTATTACATGACTTTCAGTACCAGCCACTGTTTCTACCAGGACCAAGTGTGGTAGCTGCACTATCTGGTGAGTCCACCACCTGGAAATCCAGAGCTGGTTTTCTGCTGGTCAATGTTTCCCTGTATGCCTGGGTATCACTGTGCGATGCGGAGTTAGAAAAAGGCTCTGCAGAGACCACTGAAGGCACCGATGTGTAAATCAACAAATGGACTACATTTTTATCATCCTGTACCTTTGTTTCCAAACAGCGTCCAGACACAAGTTGTCACCCATTAGTTTCTTGTAGCTCTTAAGAGTCTGCAGACATGATCAGAGAAATAAATGGAGCTTGGGTTATGAAGACATCAGGATTTCCTGAGAGCAGCATGGTATAAATCTGTTAGTTACCTCTGTGTCCCCAGTACTCACACAACAACCAATGCATGTGAGGACTAAAACAAACATTTTAAGAGTATAATGTGTCTCCTATGTGTGTATATTATATACACACATTCACTGTTTTTTTCAGACAGGATCTCCCACTATAGCCCAGGGTGATCTTTCACTCTTAGGAAACCTCTTGTCTTAGACCCTTGAGCACTAGGGTTACAGGTATATCCCAAAGTCACTAGCAAATTTTGTTATATATTTGAATAATGGATAGTTAAGATTCTATTTTGTCTATTCCTGAAACAATATTCTGTCTTAGTCCTTACATAACCATATAGTAAGTCTTACTATCCACTATACAAGTTCTCATCATCATCTGTCTGCACCTCCTCTTGGTCCTTGACATCTCAGTATTCTTTTAGACCAGTGCTTCTCAATTTATGGGTCATGACCTCTTGGGGGTCGAACGACCCTTTCACAGGGGTCTCATATCAAATATCCTGCATATCAAATATTTACATTATAATTCATAACAGTGGCAAAATTACAGTTATGAAGTGGCAATGAAAATAATTTTATGGTTGGGGGTCACTATAACCTGAGGAACTGAATTAAAGGGTCACAGCATTAGGAAGGTTGAGAACCACTGTTTTAGACTCATCTTACTGTAGTACTATAAAATAAAGATCATCAGGCTGGCTGAGTTACACTGGAATTTATTTACTAAATGAATTCCAGGAATGCCTGCTTCAAATGTGCGCGGCAGCCTCCGGCTTACAGAAAAACTAACTGCCCAGCATGTGGAAACTGTTCATCCCTGGCCTCAACTTCTGGACCCTCACTCCCAAATAAGCACTCAAATCACATGAATGGCACAGGAAGCCTCAGGACCAAAGCGGCCCTAACTGGAAGCACCTTCTGGGTGACTGACCCCTATAAATTAAGGGGCCACCTTGTCAATTTCCCTAACAGAAACAGGCAGAAACACTCAGAGCTTTTATATGAATCTCAAATCCCGGTCCAGAGTGCTCTGGAAACCAAACCAAAGCAAGCCTGCCTTCCCAGGTGCGCTCACTCTTGTGCCTCCCCAGGTGCTGCTGTAATAGCAATGGACTTGAACAGGATCCAAGGTAGGGAACACCACGGAGTGGTGGCTCTAGGAAAGGACACAGCTAGCAGTTTCCAGAGGCTATGTGAGTCTCATTCTCTGCTGGGCTGGACATCTTCATGGTTCTGCCCCCCGAAGCCCAGTCCTCAAGCAGGCTAAGGAGTAGGATGAGGTGTGGTGTGTGTATCCATGGGGAGGCTATGGAGGCAAATCAGGAAGAGGCAGAGGAATGGCTGTCTAGATGCTCCTGGGGCAAGCAGGCAGGACTAGGCGAGCATCTCACCCCTCTGGGATGAAGGGCCGAATCAGCTCTGGGTTCAGCAGTGACTCCTCAAGAGGACGGTCCACATGGAAGTCATGGACATGAGGGGGGCCTGGGTGAGCCTTCGGTGCAGGTCCTCCTGGGCGCTGAGGAACTGGCAGCTCAGAGGGATGGGCAGGCAGAGGAGCTGTGAAGAAGTACTGATGCAGAAGGGCCTGAGGGTAGCAAACAAGAGGCAGCCGAAGAAATCCAGTTACTACCAGCCCCCAGAACCATTCAGCTGGGTCAGCAAATCCTGCCTTTGTGCCTGTCTGGAGCACTGTCCCAGTGGCTGGGAACATGGCAGTGAGCTTGAAAGTCTTGCCAACAGAGGAAGGGGTTGGGGACATAAACCAGAGAAAGGGGCAGAATGTACAGGTATATCTCCAACAACTATAGTTTGATGTGTGGCTATTTCCTCCCGATTGAAACATTCCCTCTGGGCAGGAGGCTCCTTATAGACTCAGGAATTAGAGGAAACTCACAAGTCCCAGAAAACACCTGAGACTGTATCTGACCTCAGGTCAGATTTGTTAGCAGTGTCTATCTCGGTGAACAGACACTTGTTCATGTCTCCCAGGACAAGTTATAAATAAAGACCAGGGAGCTGCTGCAGGGTTTGAAGGGTTAGGACACAGGAGCACAAGCCCAAGGCAAGGAGCAAGCACAGGACGGGTAAGGACATGAAGAGCAATCAGGGGGGAAGGTGACAACACCCACACCTCCAACTCCTGCAGCTGCAAGAAGGAACCACCAACAAGAGGGGAATAGACAGAGGGCAAAGGTCACTGACTACTCCCCTGAAGAACACCCCATTGGGAAGCCCGGGCTTCCAGTCCGTCACAGATTCTGAGAGTCCCCTACTGGGCAGGGTCCCATAGTTCAGTGACCACAACTTGAACCTTACCTGGGAGGCTGCAATACGCTGGTGTGGAGGGTAGAGGAGGAACTGGCCCAGCAGGTCCAAGGCCTGGGGAGAGGCATCAGGCAGCACCTCCTCAAGGGGCACCGGTGCCTGCTCCTTGAAGGAGATCTTGTTGTAGTCAGGCAGCTCTGTGATCTCCTGAGCTCAGCAGAGGAAGAGGCAATGAGAGCAGGCCCCACCTCACCGCTCCGATGCAGGCTCCCTTTCACGTTCTCACTCAGATCATGGTCCCTCATCACCCACACACGCCCTCCTTGCCCCGATTGCTGAGATGTCACCCAGACAAGACCTGGCCCTTCTGCAGTCAAGGAAAGCTGGGGCCCTGGTACACCTGCATGAATAGAAGTCACTTCCTACTGGGGAAGAAAGCAATCCCACGCCTTCCCCAGCAATGGCTGCTACTAACCGGCCAGACTCGAGGGCTGGGCGTGCCCAGGATGCGAAGCACACAGCAAAGTTGCTCGATGTCATTCTCTCCCGGGAACAGGGGGGACCCATTCAACAGTTCTCCCATAATGCAGCCCACAGCCCTGTGGATACAGATGTATGCAACTGGAGCTCTCACACACGGGTGATCAAGCTACCCACGACAGCTCTAACACCTCAAGCCAGGTTCAAGGTCCAGAGGTTTCTAGTGACAGAGCAACTCCTGACAGCTAGAAGACACTTAGAGCCCCGTATCTGGGTCACCCAGCTCCTCCTCAGTTTGGGGGGCAGAAATGCAAAATAACCCAAACCTCAGACCTCTGAAGACCACAAACTAGTCCACCAGAATGCTGAGCCTTCATACCTAGGGGCATAAGCCTCGCTCAAGCTCACCGCTGTCTCATCCTCAAGTCAAGATACCTGAACTGTACCCCAGACCACCTTACCCAGACGCCTCCCGCCTGAGACTATCACTGCCCTAACCTTCCCCCAACAAACTCAGAGACATCCCCATGGCAGGCGCGCATTACCTCATCCACCCCAGGGTCTCACCATAGGTCGACGCCCTGGTCGTACTGCCGGGCACCATACAGGAGCTCAGGGGCTCGGTACCACCTGGGGAAAAGGGTTTGAGATCACAGCTGGCTAGCTGGTCTGATGAGAAGCTCACAGCCCACGCCCGAACAGAAGGTGCAGAGGTGTCTCTTCCCCCGTGAGAGAACTGGCAGGGATACAGCCTCATTACCTGGTGGCCACTTGATGTGTGTAGAGGCGACCACCATCTGGAGAGAAGACCCGGGCCAGGCCAAAGTCCGCGATCTTGAGCTCGCCTGAGGCACTGATGAGCAGGTTGGCAGGCTTCAGGTCCTGTGCAGACAAAAGGGGGCATCAGTCTCCCTCTACCCATAGGGCTTTGGGACAGGGAGATAGGCAGTCAGCCCCATCTCCTCTAGAGCCACAGCCCTGGCTGCTTACCTGAAGACCCTCTTCAAGGACTAGCTCACCCCAGTCCACCACAGCCCATGTTGGTACTAACCCGATGCACAATGTTGTTGGCGTGGCAAAATGCAACACCTTTGAGCAGCATCTGCAGGTAGCTCTTGACCTGTGCTGGGGCCAGGGGCCTCTGGGCATGGCGCACCACCTCTGCCAGGTCTGACAGCATAAACTCGAAGGCCAGCACAAATCCTGCACCATGTGGGAACACGGCTTTCAGCTGTACCACCTGAGGGCAGAAATCCTATCAGCCTCTAGACCAGAGGTGCTCAAACCATGGGTCTCTACCCCTTTGGCAAACATCTATCTCCAAAAATATTCACATTATGACTCATAACAGCAGCAAAATTACAGTTGTGAAGTAGCAACAAAACCACAACATGAATCATATTAAAGGGTTACAGCATCAGGAAGGCTAAGAACCATTGCTCTAGACTCACCTCCTGACCCACCAGCAGCAGCACCATTCGCGCTTGCCCTGCCAGAGGGCCAAGCAAGCAAAGACAGCCAGGGAAAAGATAGATGGGTTAATTGACAGAAAGCTGGCTAGAAACAAGCCAAGCTAAGGCTGGGCATTCCTAATTAAGAATAAGCCTCCAGGTGTGATTTATTTGGGAGCTGGGTAGTGGGCCCCCCAAAAAGCCAAAAGTAAAACATTAACGTAACACTAGTCTCTGCAGGGAAACCTTAGAAGTGGTAGTGAATGAAGATGATAAAGGTTGGGGACAAATCTACTATTTTTTTAACATATGTCTTTGTGTTTGGATGCATGTGTGTACAAACATGTGCATGAGCACGTGGAGAATCACGGCTGAAGTCAGGAGTCTTCTTTAATTGCTCTCCTCATTATCTGTTGAGGCAATGTCTCTACTGAATTCAGGGCTTCACCAAATACGCTGGTCTGACCAGCCAGCTTGCTCCAATAGGTCCTGAGACCTACAACCCCAGACTTCACAGTACACTGGCACACAGGCATACACCAGGTGTGTGGCCTGTCACCTCCTGATTCCATTACACACACGCTCTCGGGAAACAGACTGGGACCAGTTCCTCAGCGTCACTAGCACTGTGCACAGGCCAGAACTTTCAGGAGGCTCCAGGAAGACTGCCAGTGATACTCAACTCAAAGTCTTCAATGGATAGCTGAGGACCCACGAAGTGATGAAGAAAATCAAGCATTCCCCTTGCTTAACAAATTCCTGAAACTTGCTTTGAAAAGCAGGGAGAACTCCGGGTGACCACACATAAAGCCTTTAAACACACCCGCGGAACAAGTACAAGTTACTGAGAAATCCGTACGGTTGGGGACATACTTTAGTGGCACAGCACCTGCCCATAGTATGAAAGAAAAGAAAGCAAAGCAGGGAGGTGGAAGGGGGGACAGGAAGGAAAGGAGAGAAAAATCACAAAATATTTAAAAGAGAAAAAATGAATGAGTGTATGAGCAACAAGTCAATGGGAGGGAGAAATAGGGGCTAAGCGGGCAGGAGCTCAGTGAGGATTAGAAGGGAATCCTTCAAAGTGTCTGTGGGTGGGAAGGTAAGGGTGGAAATGAGTGAAAGAGGGCGGGGGAGAAGCTGCTGTCTTGGAACCTGTCGCCCACCGTCTGGTCCACCAGATCCCTGCCCCACTCACATACTGACTGTCCTCGATCTCCTGCAGAGCCTTGATTTCCCTTAGGGCCTGGTTAGGAATGCCATCCTCCAGCCGCCGCAGGGCCACCTTCTTGAGGGCAACGATCTCTCCAGTCTGTGCAGTAAGGAGAGCAGATACTGCCAGAACACCTTCTGGCAATGAAGGGCAGAAAAAGAACACACAGGGAACAAGATACCCGCAGAGATCCGCCCCTAGGTCGGGAATATCTAAACCGCCCGCCAGGGGACGCGCTCCCGCAACCCCGCTGCTGGAAGCGGGATCACAACCGAAGGGACCCGGACAAGCATCCAGAGACCCCCGAGGCCTGCAGGTCTCAGCACCAGAAGGCCGCAGCCCGTGGCTTGAGGCAGGGGGAACGCAGCGTGGCCTCACCTCTACGTGCTTGGCTTTGAAGACGATGCCATGGGCGCCCTCCCCGATGCGACCGAGGATGCAGTACTGGTCCATGTCCGCCTGCGGCGCCCAGATCCTCCTAGACAGCTAGGATGCAGCACCGGACAAAGCGTGCAAGCCGTTGCCTAGCAATAACGAGTCTAGCCGCGGCTCCGTGCAGCACGTGACAGGAAAGACCCGCGCTGAGCTCTGTCGGGAATCTGATCCCCGCTAGACAACACCTTTCCGGGAACCCTCAGCAGTCCATCGGAAGATTACCTAACGGCGTCACGTGACAAGAACGCGGCTGCGTGCAGCCCGAAGGGGCAGAGGCACGCAAGTAAAGGGCGTGTTCACGCGCTCAGGGGCGTGGCTTCTGCTAGAGAGGTGGGGCGAGCGGAGTCATCCAGAATCTTCAGGCCGAGTACCCAGTGGTGAGAACGTCGTCTGCCTCTTGCTGCAGATGACTCCAGGTAGCGTTGGAGACAAGGCCAGAGCTGAGTCGTGGAGATTCACTTGGCCCTCTAGTCTCTCCAATAGGCATTGTGAATCTAAATACCTTTTAAAAGAGTTTACTAAGCCTGGGGCTGAAGCTCCGTTAGTGAAGTGCTTGCCTAGAATGCACAAAGCCATTGGTTCAATTCCCAGGACCACATAAACTGGTCTCACTTACCTGGGGATTTGTAGTCCCAATACTTGGCAAGGTCATTCTCATCTACATAGACAGTTCAAGGCAGCCTACACTAGGAGAACTTGTCTCAAAATCATAGCGAATGCCCAGCAAGCATGTGAAATGATGGCCAAGATCCCTACTAATTAGGAGAAATGGAATCAAACCACGGTAAGATCCTTTAGGATGACCGCTGTCAGAAAAGTAGACGATAAACTGGCTGTGGTTGCCCTGCCTATAATTCCAGTGCCCAGCAGAACGAGGCTAAGGGGATCTCAAGTAAGAAGTTAGTTAGAAGGATGCAGAGAAAGTACCACCCTCGTGTGTTTTTGTTGAAATGTGAGTGTGCCAGGCATGGTGGCTTATTCCTCCGATCTGAACTCTAAGGAGACTAAAGCAGGGTTGCCACGTGTTCAAGGACAGCATGAGCGAGAGTGTGAGACCGTCTCAAACACAAAGTAAACAAAACCTTTAAACAGAAAGTGTGAGGCTGGGGACCCTGTGGAATGACTGTGAGCCGCTCTTCTTCCGGGCGTGAAATAAGCGAAAACTTTCACACTACCCATAGTGCTAAATCAGGAAAACAGAAAATTCAAGTTTGGACCACAGTGTGAGGAGGAACCTCAAATTAAAGCAAAACAAAGATGTGGTAGTGTCTCCTTGTTCTTCCAGCGCTTGAGAGGTAGAGGCAGGAAGGCCAGGAATTCAAGACCATCCTTGACTTCATGCTGAGTTTAGCTTTGATAGGCTAGTTACTACTCAGAACTAAGGAAAATGTTGCATTGACATCCAAACTGATACACTGTATTTTATAATTTTATATGTGAAGACACATACAAATTAAGTCTTTTTACTCATAAAATCATAAGATTAGAGCTTTTTCTTTTTTCTTTTTCTTTTCCTTTCTTTTTTTTTTTTTTTTTTTTTTTTTGAGGCAGGGTCACTTTGTGCAGCTCTGACTGGCTTGGAATTCCCTATGTAAATCAGGCTGACCTGAAACTCACAGAGATCTACCTGCTTCTGACTCCCAAATGCTGGGATTAGACAAGATTATTTTCTTTGAAGAGTTTGTCCCAAGCAATATTGTGAGTTCCACATCTTTGCTGAAGTCTTTCCTCTTGTTTTTCATTAGTAGCCAGGATCATGAGCTGAATATATATAAAGTCATTAAAAAAGGAAAGAAAAACTTCTTATACTTTAAAACAGAAAGAATCAGCCCACTAACAGGTACTACAGCCTGTGAGCCGAGAACTTTGGGATGTTGAAAGGCATAAGGAGTTCAAATCCAGCCTGGATTACAAAGTAAGACCTGCCTCAGTGACTGGGAGGGTTCTAAGAAAGGAGGAAAATCAGTTTTCTCCAGGGACAAGTCCCCTGGTAGGTTTGAAAGACCCTCGACGAGGACCTTTTTTCGGGAGGAGACCTCCCCAACGCCAAGGAACAGGCCGAAACCGCACAGCTGCAAATCGCAAGAGGTTTATTGAGTAGACACAGGTACCTGCAGGTGGCAAGATCTCTCAGAAGACTTGCACGCCTGCCAACTGGAGGGTGGGCTTTTTATAGGGAAGAGCAAAAAGCAAGTTTACAGAAGCAAAAGCGTGGTTATCAGAATGAGGTGGGGAGCATGAATGGTTTCCTCTCTCAGCATGGATGTCTGGCAACAGTCATCCTGTTCCTATCTTATAGATATCCTGTTTTGCAGTCAACCTGCTTTGTTGATGTCCTATCTTATTGATATCCTGCCTTGCAGTCTTCCTATCTCATAGACATCCTGCTGGCCTGGAGGGATGGCTCAGCCATTAAAGGCTAGGTTCACAACCAAATCTCTGCACCCACCAGCTGCACTTCCATCCCCCAGCATAAGCTGACCCTGTCTGAAGTATCTGGACAGGGATTTTGCATAGGGACTATTCCCAAAACCCACCAGGCCTTATGTAACTCAACCCAAAAGGTGTCCAGAGGAACCTATTACCTAGCTGCCTCCAACGGGACCTATTGGGCATGCAGTACTGGATTAACCCCATGCGTTTCAGCTGCTGTGCTCAGTGAAGCCTCTGATTATTGCGTTCTAATTGAATTATGGCCCAAAGTTACATACCATGATCCTGAATACATCTATAGTCATTTTGAAGGGAGACCCCGATTTAGGAGAGAACCAGCCTCCCTAACTTTGGCCTTATTGCTGGGAGGCATCACTATGGGGGGAATAGCAGCAGGGGTGGGCACAGGGACCACCACTCTTATGGAGACCAGCCAATTTAGACAACTTCAGGCAGCCATGCATACTGATATCAAGGCACAGGAAGAATCGGTTAGCGCACTCGAAAAGTCCTTAACCTCCCTCTCAGAGGTAGTCCTACAAAACAGGAGGGGGCTAGACATGTTGTTTTTGCGAGAGGGAGGGTTATGTGCGGCGCTCAAAGAGGAATGCTGCTTCTATGCGGACCACACTGGGCTAGTGAGAGACAATATGACAAAGCTTAGAGAGAGGATAAGACAGAGACAAAAGATGTTCGAATCACAACAAGGATGGTTCGAAGGATGGCTTAATAAGTCTCCCTGGTTTACAACTCTATTGTCTTCTTTGATGGGTCCCTTGATTATCCTCCTTCTGATACTCCTGTTTGGGCCCTGCATCTTAAACCGCCTGGTCCAGTTTATAAAAGACAGGCTGTCAGTCATTCAGGCCCTAGAACTGAACCATCAGTATCACATGTTACCACAACGAGAAAGCAAGGTTCTGTAATTGCTTTGAGTAAAAGATTTAACTCAATAATAAAAAGAAAAAGGGGGAAATGAAAGACCCTACAGACCCCCTCCTCAAAACCCGCAGCTAGCATGCTCCCGGGGGAATGTCCTGTTTGCTTAAGAACATCCCATGTGCTTGAGAGAGCAGGATGTCTATGAGATAGGAAGACTGCAAGGCAGGATATCAATAAGATAGGACATCAACAACACAAAGCAGGTTGACTGCAAAACAGGATATCTATAAGATAGGAACAGGATGACTGTTGCCAGACATCCATGCTGAGAGAGGAAACCATTCATGCCCCCGCCTCATTCCAATAACCATGCTTTTGCTTCTGTAAACTTGCTTTTTGCCCTTCCCTATAAAAAGCCCGCCCTCCAGTTGGCAGGCACGCAAGTCTTCTGAGAGATCTTGCCGCCTGCAGGTACCAGTGTCTACTCAATAAACCTCTTGAGATTTGCAGCTGTGTGGTCTCGGCCTGTTCCTTGGCGTTGGGGAGGTCTCCTCCCAAAAAAAGGTCCTCATCGAGGGTCTTTCAGCTTATCTAATTCCAAGTGGTCACACCTGTACATAAGCCACACTAAATAAACTTAGTCATGTGTGTGTATACACTTACGTATATCTACACATACATATATATGTACATTTACATATGCATATATCTGAAAATGTGCAGCAATAATAATTAAACAAGAGGTCATTAATTTAAGAGGGACTAACACAGGAGAAGTTGGAGTGAATTATATGAACATAGTACTTGTGTGAAATTATCAAAAAACAAAAAATGCACTTAATTTTAAAGGAAGGAGGGAGGGATGGAACGAAGAGAGAGAAAGTGAGAGAGAGAGCTGTCACCCACTGACAAGAGAGATCAGAGAAAGACAAGGTGTTCTGCTGACACCTAGTGTCTGAAGCGTGGTAGGCCTGAGCAAACAAAACTAAGAACATCATTTGATACCTGCCTGGTCCTTAATCATTGTGCTTTGTTTCTTTATATGCTCCAGATCTTTGCCTTGTTGCTAGGACTCACCCCCACCCCCCAGAGAAATGGCACAGCTGACAACTCTCAAAACCTGTAAATCAATCGTATTGGTTAATGTCAATCTTGTGTGCAGCCTTCTCCACTTTGCGTATATACAGGTCAGACTAGAGGGTTGTTGGTTGGAGTATGGCGTGACAGCTCTGAGGGTGCAATAGTGACATACATACATTGGTGATAACCAACAGTTCTCTGATTAGACTTAAGACCCATTCAACAAGAGGGAAACCATACCTGGTTCTAGGAACCTAGCTAACTAACTACTCAGTGTATGATGGCTATTCTGGTTGTCAAGTTTACTGCATCTGGAATTAACTAAAATGCAAGCAGCTGGAAACACCTGTGAAAGATTTTTTTTTTCTTAATTAAATCCTTTGAAGTGGGTGCAGACTACATAAGGGAAGCTTGCTTTCTTTGCCTGCTTGCTTTCAATAGCAAGTCCATTTCCTTCACTAGAATTAGAGCCTACGTCTTCAGGATTCTGACATATACTGAGACCCATTGAGACATACAGCCTCAAGGGCTGAACCACTGAGTTTTTGAACCTTTCATTGTTAGACAGCCATTGTTGGACTAGCTGAACCACAGCCTATAATCCATTCTAATAAATCCCCAATAGATAGATAGATGATAGATAGATAGATAGATAGATAGATAGACAGACAGATAGGATTCATTCATTCTATAAATTCTACTTCTCTAGAGAACCCTGACTAATACACAGTGCTAGTGAAGTCAGGTTCAATTCTCAGCACCCACATGTCAGCCCGTACTGCCCATATCTCCAATTCCAGGATTC